TATTAAATTGGGCAATAAGGGTTAAATGTTTCGCTTCTTGGATGAAATGTCCAGAACACTATTGCTCTCGGTGAATTAGGATCTAATAAAACCAGTTCAAAATTTATGACCACCATAAAATGTCTTAAAGAGAGAATAACTTGAATTTTTTTCAGAAATACTTTAAAAAAAGGGAGAACAAAAATTTAATCACAAAACAAAAAGTTCGTTATATAGGAAATGCACTTCGCTATAGAGAGGTTATTTTACGAAGAAAATCGTGAAATGTTCGAGGTTCCAGAAAAAGTTTGGCTACATAGAAAAATTCGCAATATAGAGATTCGTTATATAGAGGTTCAACTGTATTTTCATTGTGATGACTACTACATAAAAAAGCACTGTCTACCTCACACAAAAGGAAATGAAAAATGGTAGACAATTTGTGTGGTTTAAGTACACCTGGTGTAAAATTAGGTCAATGAAAAAAATTATCTGGAATGTCCATCAAAGTAAAAAATTTTAAACAGAGCATATAAGTGCGTAGAATCTAAAAACTCGGTATGTCTCGAATAGGCCAAAACTTCTGTTATAAATTGCAATAACGAAGTTCGTTGTGTCTTGCAAAGTGAATACTATTTCGAAAATTTAGACACTTTATTTTATAGTAATGTTTTACATTTTATGTATTTTCACTTATTCGCAAAAGAATTCTAAATATCATTTTTGTTTATCTTTGGTCTTAATAAAATAAAATTATTTCTTCAATAAAAAAGTCTTTTTTCGAGTGAAAATAAATTACCAAATTAAAATCGAATTATTCTAAAAATCGATTTAGTTTTATTTTGTGAGATTATAATTCTTTTATTTGACTATAACACTTCCATATCTCATATCTTAATTTATCCAAAATGATTCTAAGTTTAATTTTGTACTTTTTTGTATTATAAAAGGATTCCTTTTTTTAAAGAAAAAAAATATCGACCATTTTTGTGGAAAAAAATGCCAAAATGAAAGTGGATTTTTCTGAAAATCAATTAAAATGCACTTGTGAGGTAATAAGAAATATGACTCAGCTGAAACACTTATCGTAAATTCACAACTAGTGTTAGCGTACTAAATACAAAGATTTCTAATAGTCTTTTAGACCATACCACACCATTTGTGTGATGAAATTCATTCATGGTAGGAAAATAATAAGCAAAAGGAGTTTTAATCTTTATCAAAAATAAAAATTAATTCTTCATAAATTATACTAAAATCCAGATACCTGTGAATAAATTATAACCTGTGATATAATTATAAGGAACTAAATATTTTAATTTAACACTTTGAAGGCACAATACTTTATAAATTCAAGATTAAAGGATTAATCTAGGCAAACATTTTGAAATTGTGTTATTTTTTCTGGCATTCAACTTTTAAGGTTTAATTTTATGAAAAACACACATATAACTTGCTATGTAATTTGTTCCGGTGGAATCCTGTAACTCAATATTGAAGCTGGTGTCTTCACCCGATTGAGCTGAAATTTTAGATACTACTTTAGTTTGGATGACAATGCATGCTTTGACCATTTATATACTGGTATTGCAGTTAGTTAAACAAGATATTAATTAAAACCATAAAACGCTTAATTGTTTTACCCCTATTGGATTTTTATGCTGCCGAACAGCTTATCGGATTGAGCTTAAAGAAGTTCCGATTTTTCGACCAATTTAAAAAAAAACACCATCTGGTCCTTTCTATCAAACTCATACAAAAAATAATTACATAATCGGAAAGATCATTTATTACGCCCCGACACGGTATAATTCTTTTTAAAAAATAATATTTTCTATTTTTTACTATTTTTTCTAAAATGAGTCAAAATCGATGCATTTTCATGAAATTGATATCTAAATCGTTCCATGTAAGATTTTTTTCCGTATTTATGAATCGATACTCTGCAGTAAAAAAAAAAGTTCTGGCTTTTCTCCTTTAGAATCAGTCATTTAAAAAATGAAATGCCAAAAACATTTTTTATTTAAAGTATTTTCCAAAAATACTCAAATTTTTAATTAAACGTTTTATAACTTCGTAATTTTTAAAGATAATCGCACGAAACCTTTTTTTTTCTTTTGTAGAATATGATTATCCGAATTCTGTACAAAGATTGAAAAAAAATTGGTTTAAAATTACAGATTTTAAAATTTTTTTGTGTTTTTCGTTTTTAATATAGTATATAAAAGCAAAAAGAAAAAAAAGTTGAATATTTTAATTAATTTTGCCCATTATATTCTCTTGCTGCGGCCCGAGTGAAATATCTTTCATATGTATATGCCCTGACAAGAAAAAAGTTTGAGTACCCCTGAGCTAGACTGTTCAAAATTAACCGGCAAACGACCTTGAAACAATGATGCGTTGAATGGGATGAACAGACTGAGAAACTTGTACAGCGATAGCTAAAAAGTAAAAAAAAAAATTAAGAATAAAAAACTTTCTTTTAAACAAGCTTTTACTTAAATGCGCTAAAAAGAATAAAATAAACTTTTCTTTAAAAACGTTTTTGGTATTAACTTATAACGTCATTACACAATTTATGATATAAAAGCTTGTCACGAGACTTACCTGTGTAGATAAACATGTAAATTAAATAACTTGATCGGATTAATTTTAATTTTTAAAATTTTCCAACTAAGTAAATACAAGTACTTACATCTCGCGACAAGCTTTTATATCATAAATTGTGTAATGCCGTTAAAAGTTGATAGCAAAAACAGTTTTTTAAAAGAAAAGTATATTTTTAAACAAAGTTTTTTTACTTTTAATTTATTTTCCAAATGATGTATAATGTGCTGTGATTTCAGTTACAAACATTTCATTGGAAAATAATTGAATTCTCAAATACTTAAAATATTTTTGTGAATCATTCCAGCAGTGAGAGAGTAATATAGGAAATATCATCAATTCTATTTATTGAAATATTACTTTAGCCTCTCAGGAACAGTGAACAGTTATTCAATATATGTGCAAATTCAACTTACTACAGAAAACTTGAAACTCATCAAATGTCTCATAGAGTTTTTCCAGCATATTTCATAACTTTAATACCTGACATACACGTAACAGGTAATTACTTCAGGTATAATCTAATTTTCAGATCATTGAAGCGACGGCAGCATGTCTTTGTATCAAAACTGATGTCTGCCTCCCATTTAGAGATTTAATAATTAATCTTCTCCCCAGACATTTGGATTGGCAGAAGACAGGGAAGCATTATTAAATGGAAAACGCGTTCAAAAACCTTTTCGTAGAAAGGTCGAATCTTACTCATGAATGTCTCTGATCTCTACTTTGAAAGACGTAGTTGAATTAGAACAGTGCTTCTCAAACTTTCAATATCTTCAGCCCAATGTTCAATAATAATTTTCATCGACCCCCCATACAATAACAATGTATTGAATTCAATGATGCTATACTTTGATGCTAAAGCTCCAATACAACTTAAAACTCTTAAGTGCCACCGACGTATATAAACTTCTCATTCACTCAAAACGTTAATTTCCCAGACGTATATATACGTCTCTCCGCAGTACAATCATTTCGGTAGACTGCTATTCATAAAATTTTTCGAAAGGCTTTGAAATGCAATAAAAAGACCTTGGCAGTGTTTGTGAAGGATTTACTTATTTCTGAGTATTTGCTTATTTATTCCTTTTCTAGTTTATTCCTGTATTCAATTTTGTACATGACAAGCTCGTGGCACCAATCGTTATTATTAAACTTGTTCTTAACTTAGCATTGCTGAATTAATTATAAAATACATTTTGCAGTACTGATACATTTATAAGAGTTTTATATCAGTGTATATGTATATTTATTTCTTATTATGTCAAAGTGTATTTTATTTGTACACTTTCAGTAAATGAATAATATTTTTATAAAATAATCTTTTGTTTTTTCGATTTTTCAATATGCCTCGCCCCCCTTGTGGAGTTATTACGCCCCCGCAGGGGGCACGCTCCACAGTTTGAGAAACGCTGAATTAGAACATTGTTTTGCACATTAAGACAGATCGCCTTATTTTAAGGTTTCACAAGGGTCATTAGTCGAATTTTTATGTTTCCTTTAAATCAATGATAAAAGTTGCACATAAAATGGGCAATATTTGTTGAAATGGAAAATGGAGTAGATGTGCAAAATGTGGAAATTTTAATCACTCCCTTTTTCTACGTATATAGGAGAATAGTTATCACTCACTCACATCATTTGATCTCTGGAACTATTAGACCTAGAGAATTGAAATTTTTCACATTTGCATTGTTGAGTAAAAATCCACAAAGTTGTCCTTTTCTGCGGAATTTGATTTCCATATGGAGTTAAGGAGGTGTAATAGATAAAAATTCATATATTTTTGTTGTTGCCGTGTCCTTCCCGAAGGGGAGGAATGAAAGTTGGCAGAGTCTGATACAGGTTGGACTTCTTTATGGTAGATGGCGACACCACCTACCTCCACCTATACAATTTAGGCATGGAACTGGAAGGGAGGGAAAGATTCTCCAGCCCCCTGCACTCGTGGATTCTCCTGCGACCACCCATAAGGCTTTCGGACCCACTGATTTAACGAGCATGTACTTCCTGTGTGCACGAAGAGTATTTAGTGGCATCGGGCATCGAACCCAGGCCTTCCGGTCTGGAGTTCGATGCGTGGCCGCGGTAGCCGAGTGGTATAGGTATCGGATCGTGGCCTGCCTTGTCACGAGTTCAAGCCCAGTACCATTAAAGATCCGCCGTGTAATGCGCGTTAAATCTGTGGAGAGCTGAAACGCCCTCCCGTTGGTGTGGTGTGGTATTTAAAAGAGAGGGTTTCAGCTCAGGTGTCGTCCACGTCACTTGACCATGGTTCAAAATGACGTGGTCCGTTGTCAAAAGCTCTCGTGTAGCTGAACAGTGCGACATTAATATTCAATCAATCAATTAATCTGGATTTCGATGTCCTAACCACTAGGCTACCCATGGCCTTAAAATATTTAGAGAATGCCAACGGCATGCGGTTATCCCAGGTGGTTACCCGCCCAAGTACTGACCGCGCCCGATGATGCTTAACGTCATTGATCGGACGAGAACCGGTGTTTTCAAAATGGTATGGCCGTCTTCAAAAAAATTCCCGTGTTTGAATTAATAATTTCGTGTGTTTAACCCGTTTCTTTTGTTAAATGGAGATACACTATGAACCTGTTTTGGGACAATGGATTCCTAAGGGTGTTCAGTTAAAATGATTCCTGGTTTTAAATTATTAGACCGACATATTTGAATTTTGGTAGGCCTATTTCTTTTGTTAAGTAGAGATCTGTGAAGAACTGGTTCTGAAAAAACGGACTCCCAAAGAAATTTGAGTGGGCTTTAAAGATAAAAATTCTATCATTTTGGTATTTTGAATGTTTGAAGAGTAGTGATTGCTTATTCTTTCGCTAAAAGTACAATTTGCTAGAAGAATGCCCAAACACTCTAAGATAGAAAAATGTACAGGGATATACAATATATATATTAAAATAAAGTGTTTGTAAGTTAAGAATCTTTTCTAATATTTTTATAAACCATGTAGGTAGGTCTTAAGAAAATATGACTTCAGGTTTCTGCTAAAAAATGTATGCATGCTTTGAAGGGAATTTTTTTTGTATGTGTGCGTGTGTAGGAAATAGATCAAATCACAGAGTGTAATTCTTTGAGCGTGGAAATTAAAATGAGACGTTAAAATGATACTCCTGATTAAGATATAAATATTAAATGTTTTTTTATATTTCTAATGTTAGATTAGGAACATTTATTCAAGAGTTCATTAATCTACCTAGTACATCACCGAATGATGGTATCGCTTTTTAGTGAGGCGCCAAATTGGCGGATTATAAATGCCGCAGGTAATTTTGACGCCCAGTTTCCTCCCTAGAGGGCGACACCAGAGCTCTAGCGATGTGAACTAGGATTTAATTTTGCCTAGAGCGTCCCCCTAGGGATCCTTTACATGCCGTATAGTCATACGACATGACCGCCGTCTATTTTCTGCATCATGAAAATCCATCATCCTCGCAACCTTGGGTACAGAAGGCCAGTGACAAACCAACCACGCCATCCAGCCGACACAAAGAACGAATGTAAGATTAGAAATGTAAGTTATCAGGGTGTCACATACACACGCACGAGGTTCGTAACAGTGTTTTCAGATGCGATGAGAAATTCATAGTTTTAAATTCATTTCCGTAAAGTAAAAACACTACCAATCATTACTGTTTTATTGTAACCGTTCATTTAATTTAATAAATTATATGGCAGCACTAAAGGTAGTTTAAAAAATTCACTAATTGTAAGTTTCACAATTCGCGTTTCCATCCCTCTTCTTTTAAATTAACTACTGTTTACTTAAAGACTTACTTCTAAAGGTTAGAGTTTATAAAGTAATTAGTTAAACAAGGAAAATAATTTAAATCTTAAACTCTGCCTTAAATGAATGCCAGTCTCATTACGATGTCTAAGACTTTTCAAATTAGTTAAAAATAAGCCTGTATCTCACAATGAGTGCGTTTAATACAAAAACACCTGAAATTATCTATAATTGATTTCTAACTCAGTAAAGTTTCATAACTATCAGCCTATATAGACATGTGCTTTCAAGTACTGATGCATTTTATTAAATATGTTCTCGTATAAGAATTGTAAGCTTATTGAAAAGTTTATTTTTTGATTTAATACTTTTTCGTACGTTTTTGTGTTAAAATTTGACAGCGTAAATTGTTTTTCATACAGTTGAAAATATCAATATTCTTATTCTTTATTATCTGCGGTTTTAACAGAACTCATTAAATTGTGTTGATTCTTGTCATTAAAGATTAATTTTCTTTTCTTATTACATGTCATTAAGAGAATTCGTGAAAGAGAATTGATGCTTGTTAAAAATTATCAATTTTCTTACTTTTTGTTACATGCCAGTTAGAAAGTTCCTGAATTTGGGTTTATATTCTTGGGGTGTAGTGTAACAGGCCTCCTAGTTGGTGCACTCTGGGTAACGCTAATTCTGCTATAGCTTTCGTCATTTTCTTGCATATAGTCTTGGGTTTTTCTTATTTTTTGGAGACTTCTTTGAAGATTTTTAACAACTGCTCTTTTAAGCGCAAGGTCAGTTCTAGTCTTAAAGTTCTTTTCTGGAATGCTGGTGGCCTTACTATAGAAAAATTCATTAAACTAAAAACTGTTATTTCCAAAGAGTCCCCCGATGCTATTGGTATCTCTGAGAGTGGCTCTTCTGCAGACATACGAGTTTGTTCCCATTAAAGGGCTATAAATCATACTCTCTTGGACGTTCTCGACAAATTGCTTCGGGAATCGTTATTTTTGTTAAAAACGATCTCACTGCAGAACCTTGCTAAAACATGCAATGACCTCTTCTGATTCTTTGGAAGCGATTGAACTACGAGTATGGAAGAAAAACATTGGTTATTGTGTTTCATTTTTATACAATCCTCCGAGGAACAAACCAGATTTAAATTATCTTCTACATGACTGGAATAAACACTCCTTCATTTTGGGAGATTTTAATGCTCACTCGACAAGATGAGGCTCTGTTCAAAATTGTCCTGTTGGCAATCTAGTTGAAGATTTTATTGACACAAACAAATCGATTTTATTGAAAACTCTACGTCGTCTCCTACGTTTCTTTCATATAGAGGCACCTCCTCACATCCTGACTTATCATTGGCCCATCCAAATTTAACTCCTTTTGTATATCACCATCTAATTCATATACCTAGAGGTGCTGGCCATAAAACTCTTTCTATCATTATTTCTAATCCAGGGGAGACTCATGTTCCCAGAGTCACTAGATGGAATTTAAAAAAAAGCTAATTAGGAGAAATATGCAAGTTTGACAAATACTCTTTTGGGTAATTAATTGTCTTATAGACTTGAATAATGACAAGGATCTCGACAAAATCATTACCACTATTTTAGCTTGTGCCAATGTTTGTATTCCAAAAGGCCATATTATAAATGGAAAACCTTTCTGCAATGATAAATTGCAGACTTTTAAGGAAAAAAAGTTTTAGCAAGAGAAAGAGCTGATTCTTCTGGCCTTCTTGAAGATTGCATTTATTTAAGGGGAAAAAAGCTATTTTAAAGAAGGAAATTTTAAATGCAAAGCGTGCTTCTTTTAACAAATTTTTAGAGAATTTTGACTACCGAAAGGAGGGACCAAAACCTTTCAGATTCATTTCTGCTTTGAACGGCAAACAAATGCAGTCTTGCAAACAACCAATGAAGGTTGGTGGAAAGAGTTTGACTTCTGAACCTGATATAGCAAAGATCTTCTTGAAATACCACCGTCAGGTTAGCAAATTTCGGGGCCGAGAAGACAGATCAGAAAGAGAGAAATAAATTCTCCTCGTGTGAACCAGAAATGGACAGACTTTTCTCTGCTCCTTTCTCTGATGAGGAATTCCAGAGAGCCCTTCAAAAAATATCTAGAGAGAAAAGCGCAGGTCCTGACGTATTCTTCCAGAGTTTATTTTAGAACTCGGTTCCAAGTCTAAACAAACCATTTTATCTTTTTTAAACAAGACTTGGGGTAGCTCTTTTCCGAGTTATTGGAGAAAAACGGATGTTTTTTACCCATCTTAAAACCTAAAAAAGGTCCGACAGACATCCAAAGTTTTAGACATTTTTCTTTAACTTGTATTCTAGGTAAATTATCTAAAAGAATTATTGTTGATCGACTGCAGTATTACCTGGATAGCTGCAGTCATACTTCTGAGAAACAGGCTGGCTTCAGACGGAGTTACAATACGACCGAACAAATTGTTCGCCTGACTCAACACATTAAAAACGACTTTCAAAAGAAGCAAAGCACGCTAGTTGTTTTTGTTGATTTTAAATCAGCATTTGACAGAGTCTAGAGAAAGATGTTGCTCAAAAAGCTTTTATACATGAATGTTTCCGGTCATATCTTTAAATCAGTGATTTCCTCTCTCAGCGCTTCTTAAATATCAAATATGGCAACTCTCGCTCAGAGTATGGCCAAACTAGACAAGAACTTCCACAGGGATCTTTTTTGAGCACAGTTCTTTTTAATATTATGATTAGTGATCTTTTGAGTTTCATCGATAATGCAGTGTTTGTGATTAATATCCTTACTATATGCTGATGATCTTGTTCTCTGGTCAACCGGTTCTGATATACCAAAATTGGAAAGTACCCTGAACTCGACACTGGTGACCTTGGCAAACTGGTCCTTGGAAAATGAGAGAGAGACTTTAAGGTAAACCCTGATGAGACAAGTTTTCAACTTTTCACCTTAAATACAAAAAATCACAACATTAACCTGGTTTACAATAACAATAATATACTCAGGACTAACTGTGCTACTTACCTCGGGATTTCTCTGGATTGCAGAATAACTTGGACTAAAAAAATTGCTAAAGTGGTCGAGAATGCTACAAGTAGGTTATCTCTGTTAAAGAGAATTGCCGGTTTTAAGTGGGGATCATCCCAAAGTGTTTTGACTTCCACTTTTACATCTTACATCAGACCTGTTATTGATTACGGCTCTGAGCTTCTTGTTACTGCTTCTGACAGTGCATTATCAAAGTTGGACGTTGTTCAAAACAAAGCACTGAGATTTATCACTGGTGCAGCCACCTCGACCTTATCATTTCTATGCAACTGAAGACTGAAATTTGTAGTTCATCTGAAAGACTTCAATACTTTGTGCTTTTTCTTGGTGAACGATTAATGAGAAAGGAGCATTTCTGGCCTAAATACACTCATGTCCATAAATTAAGGTTAATTCAGAATCACACAGAAATTGAACTGTAAAAAAAATTTCACTTGTAGAATTATCACACACATCTTGAAGAAGAATATGCAATTACAGGAAACCACCAGATGGCACTGATAGTTCGTCACAATGACGAGAGTGTATGTGACGAATCTGTACGGAACCTTTCCACTAATCTTCTTAGGCGTCTTTTTGGGGAATATAAATTCGCGTTTATTTCCAATCAACTCCAAAAGATGTACGGGATATTTAAATTAGATAAGGTATTTAAGTTGAGCGTTGCGAGATAGCAAGAGAGATGATGGAAGGCTATTGAGCTAGTAACTTTAAA